TATAATTTCCCCCCCCCCCACAGAAAAGCAAATAAGCAAATTAAAATAAATCAACCATATGTTATATAATTTCTCCAAGAATTAAATATATATATTTTTATCCAAATAAACTTAGAAAATAGCAATTTCTCTCCTATTATATTTCAAAATTGAGGTACATATTGCAAAAGATCTTGTCAGTCAGAAAGCAAGCTTTATCGTTTTTGTTGTTGTTGTCTTTTAACACAAACAACTGCGGACTCTCAAAAACGATATAAAGAGTAGTGCATAACGAACAACTATCCTGTCGAGAAGAAACAAACAAAACCTGCCTGGGTTGGAAGGAAATGTCACAAAAACACCCAAAATTCACTTTCATAGGGAAATACATGGTTAGCCACTACTTTTTTTTTGTTATGTTTCCGCCAGTAAAAAATATATATATATTTTTTGGACAACACGAAACATACAAAAACTAAAAACAATAAACAGTTTTGGACTAAAAGAGGAGATGGGCTATGGGGCCATCACACAATCAACCCCCAACAAAAATTAAAAGTGAACACACATGAACTTGTAAAAACCTTGCAGGCCTATGGGTTGTCCACAAAAATGCCTTAAAAAAATTGCCATCACTGCGCTCCATCACCTTATTATACGAAAACAATTAGATTGTTAGCAGGTCGGTTACTTCAAGCTTTGCAGGACAAAGTAAATGGGGGGGTTAACAGGGTACCCCTATTTTGCACATCTTTATATACATCTACTTATGTGTCGAGAACATGCGACATTTGTCAACCTCTAGTAGCTTCATTTCCGTTCTTTCTCATCACTGCATCCACTACAAGAGTAGCAGCGACTCCTTGTGGGTGGGAGGACATCAACCCTGCTGTCTTTCGATTGGTTTGTGTGCATTGGAAAGAGCAGCTGTTATATGTACTGTATATCCACACACACACGCACACAGAAGTGAAAACATCATCACTTTGTCAGACATGAACGACAGCTAAAGCGAACGAATCACAGTTCTAGGCATACTCTGACCTAACTAGATACGGTATAAAAATCACACAATAACAACAATCACTGCAAAAAAAGTACTTCACCTCTCAGACACCATTTGTCATTATTATTTTAGACCTAATTGGATCTGTGATATTTAAGGTTGCATCCACCTCCGATGCTTTTAAATGTTCACTGCCTCTCGATGAATCTGAAGCATGTCGTGTAACCATGGGCGGTGTTAAAAAGTCATTGCATGCAGCCATCTTTGCAATAAACATGCGGTTCAGTGGCAGCCATCTTTGTGTCGAGAGCGCACCGCGGATGTGTTCTCTTTGCACGCATGAGGTGTGTAGTAGTGTACTTCAGGTATCTCATCATACCATCAATTTAGCAGCAAAGCCATTGCAACAATACATTCAGAAAATTAAAAAAAAAAAAACAAACAAAAATAAAATGGTATAAACAAATAAAGACGTAGAAATCAACAGTGAACTCATCTGGTTGTGTGTATGAGGTATTAATATTTGAATTATAGAGTGATTATTTTTATCATTTCAAATTGTTTCAGGGCCCTAATTTTGCAATGTTTCTTATTCCAACCAGTTTCTGAGTGCATTTGTTTTAATGCCTTTTGCGACTCTTCTCCTCTAAGGGGCTTATATATTAATGTGTGTGTGTGTGTGTGTGTGTGTGTGTGTGTGTGTGTGTGTGTGCGTGCGCGCGTGCGTGCGTGCGCGCGTGCGTGTGTGTGCGCACACACACACACACACACATTTGTCGAAGGAGAAGAATCTGTGCTTGATGGTTCTGCCTTCTCGGCCGCACTGATTTTGATGGGGGCGAATACTGGCGCGATTTGTCTATCGCCACTTGACAGCCCCGGGGTGCTTGTGTTTTTTGTGCCTGTATTGGGCAGCATTTTTCACAGAGAGCACCATTTTGTTCAGCGAAGATGTCGGCGCTGTTGGACAGTTGGTCCAACAGTTGGTGCGGCTGGATGGATAGCTGCCGGAGTTGAGGATGAGTAGAGAGGAGCTTCAGCGTGTAGCGCGAATGCGTATTTGGAACTGAGAGCCGGCGCTTGGAATTGAATTGGATTTACATGGGACAGGAGAAGTGAACCAATCTCTTTTTTCATCAATGGACGCTACAGCTTCTTGTTTATTTTCAAATTTAGCTTGTAGTAGATGTACGGGACGTCATGCATGTTTTGATATCTCTTAATCCTGGTGAAAGGATTCTTTGATTCTCCTCTTTCATCCATAACTATCGTGGTTACGATTACATGACTGTCCATGTCTTATGTTCTGTGTTGTGTTAAGTGACCGTATTTTGTTATTTTATGTGAGCTGTTGTCTAAGCGCTTCATACCAGCTGCAGCTGTTGTAAAAGCGCTACAGTATATGAATAAAGATGTACTGTATTGTATTGTATATATGCCCTTGCATGCTCTTTTTACATTAAATTAAAATTATCCATACATGTATAGATAGGTACAAAACTAAAAATACGTTGTTTTTTTTTTTTTAAATATTCACATGGTTTCACTTCTAAGAGGCAGGACCTCACCACCTAGTCAAGGCAAAGAATGAGCTGAAAGTAGTCAAGTGTTTGATCCTGTACATGTGTGTGATTGAGGTGGTGTGCCAAAGTGCAAAATTCTAAGCTTTACCTTCTCACAATGCTTCATCAGACGGTGACACAATGTGTTGGGCCGGAGGGTGTAAATATGGGATGCGTTGTGTTATCTAGCGTGATCTGCCTACAGATTGAGAGGCTTTTTTTTTGTATGTATCTGAGGATGGGATGGTCAGGCAGACATATGACTCAGCTCCAGCGGAAGGACACGTGTCGAGGGCGGTCACCCCCCTCTTTCACAAGTGGCTTGTGGAACTCTCGGCCTGCTCGCGAGTGAATGCTGGCCCAGCAGTACTCGCAATAGTACTGCAGACATGTGACGTTGGCGCAGAAGAAGGGGGCGAACTTCCCCCCACAGCGCGCCCCCTGGCACTCATCACACATCTGATCGTCAAGCACATACGGCTTCACCTCCACCTGTGAGAAAGAACAGGAGACATAATCCTCAGTTCGAACCGTATTTCACACGGCTATAGTACATTGCCCATGTGATCATTTTATTTGGGTTTTTTTTCCATCCATCAAAGAGCTTGACCACTGATCAGGGAAAGAAATGAGGGTTTGGTCACCATGGTGATGCTGTCTTGCATGCTCAGGCAAGGAATCATGATGATGCAAACTTTGTGGGAGCCTGGCCACAAAATCTTTCTTTTCATCTCAAACTTGTGTGTGAAAGGAAATTTACAGACAATCCTTCAATTTGAAACTCATGATAATTATTGTTCAAAACTACTATGAACATTAAAAATTGAAACAGTTTTACATCTTTGGTGTCAACCAGAGTTTTGGTGCCAAAATGAAATTGATAATGTCTGAAAATTGAAATGAGCTAAACAGGCTTAATAGTGAAACATGATAATTAATTTCAAGTGTTTATTCTTTTATGCATTTATTCGTGTCTACTGCAGCACACTGGAAAGCGCAATGAATAAATAAACTTGTCAGAGTGACATATCAATATGTGGTAAATGCTGATCGTTTCTTGTTTGTTAGAAAAATACCATCTGTCACAGGGACCCATCAAGAAAGCCCTGTTGTATGAGGTGCTACAGACAGTCGACAAAACATAGCAAACATAAACTCAACCGGTTAACCTGGGAGACAATTGAACTGTTACCTGGCAACAGACTGAGGGAATGATATACTGCATGCAGAGCCAATCAACATCCAAAATTTTAAATGGATTCTGTTGACATTTTAGAATTTCCTTTCACAAACACAATAGCTTTTGACAGACAAATAAAAATCTTAGACAATGTTTTTCAAATTTAAAAAAGGGGAAAAAAAGACTTTTGTGTTTTAAGAAGTGGACAAGAGAACAATTCGGACCCTTATGTGACAGGCATTTGTTCTATGCGAGAGGTTTTCTGTTGTGTTTTCTTGGTCTGTATGAGTTTAAATGGTCAGGTGAGAGTATGTCTTTGCCACGAAAGAAGGTTTTTGTTTCTGTGTCTTTTTTTCTTTTAATGTGTGAGGTGTTTTGTGGTGACTGAGTTTTTAAAGTTTCAGTTTTTGTTTTTTTTTCGTGACTGTTGTTTTTTGTTTTGGTGCTTGTGAGAATTTTAATTGGCGCATTTAAAAGGTGTCAGGTTCCGTGTTGTGTGTGAGATGTTTGGTGTTTTTCGTGTACGTGCGTGTGATTTTGTGGTTGTGTGACATTTATTTGGTCTGTGTCAGTGTTTGGGAGAGTGACAGGTTTTTGGTGGTGGTGGTGGTGGTGGTGGTGGTGGTGGTGGTGGTGGTGTCTGTTACCGTGAAACTGGTGGGAGTGAAAAATAAATAAAAAGAGAGATTTGTGGTGTAAGACAGACAGACATTTTTAGACCAGTGCAAAAGGTTTTCCGTTGTGTGCGTAAGTTCTTTGGCATGCCTGAGAGGCTTTTGGACCGTGAGAGATCTTCTTTGTTGTGCAAGGAAGTACTTTCATCAGTGTGTTTTTTGGTGTCATGCGAGTGAGTGTTTTTTTAACTGACTATTAGAGGCTTGTGTTAAGTGGGAGAGGTTTATTGATAGGTGTGAGAGTTTTTTTTTTTTTTTTTATTGTGCCTGAGTTTTTTTTTTTTTGTTGCGTATGAGAGGATTTTTTTGTGGTGCACGAGAGTCTTTTGGGCTGGGTTAGAGATTTTTGAGAGTCTAAGTTTTTGGAGTTGTGCGTGTGAGGTAATTTGGCATGTGATATTTGTGCCAGATTTTTTTTTTTTGGTGGGGTGTGTGAGATGATTTTTGGTTTGCTTTTATCGCATGAGAGTTTGTTTGGGATGTAAAAGAAGTTTGCTGTTCCTGTGAGTTTTTTTTTCATGATGGTGAAAGGTTCCTGAGAGATCATGTGTGTTCCCACTATGTTTAAAGATAGAATTACTCATCATATCATGGTTCGCAGAAGAATTAAGATTTAAGGGGATTTAAGGACTAGTCACACCCTTCAGAGGTATCTCCCGGTAAGCTACTATTGTCCACAAAAATAGATGGGTACAATGAGGGGCCACGCCTTGAAGAGGCTCAGTGTTCTGAATGAAAACCAGTCTTGTTTGGTCACAATCTATGCGTCTGCTATTGGCTGGTGCAGCTTATCGAGCAGGCAGCAGTGCAACATGGGTGGCTCGACATGTGAGGAAGTATAATTAAACAGATCGAGTGTGCCTGCAACTGGAAACGCGTTGGCCCACATTGATGAGACAGCCTCGGCCAGCCTTCCATTGTTGCATAATGAAACGTCCACCATAATGAACATTGAACGCTCGGCGAAGACGCAGAGAGGGAGTTCAGCTGCACGTCGTACCGTTGGAATGATGGCAAAAAAAAAACCTTGGCTGTGGTCAAAACACCTCCTTCAAGAGGAAGGGAAGAGGCAGCGTGAACTCACTCACCCTTTTGTCAATGTCATTGTGCTGCAGCTGAACGAAGCGAGCGCTGATGGCGGCAATATAGCTCTGCTGATTGGAGAAGGCCACACGGCCGGCCCCCTTGGGATATTTGAGCTCTGGGTCAGTGTCAATGCCGGCGTAGCAAACACCACCGTACAGCCGATCCATGATCATAGCCAGCTCCACTGGAGTGGTTGAAAAGAGACATTTGATTCGCGTTAGCATGTGTATTGAAAGACTTGATTTTTGTATTGTTTAAGTTGAAGTCAGCTCAAAAAATTTCTTTCCAATCATATGGTCTTTGCGCCACCAGTATATGGTGAACACAGCATTCTGATTAATACTGCGTTTGTGGAATATTTTGATTTTTTTAAAGGGGAAGTCAGCTAAAAAATGTATTTCCAATAATATGTTCTTTGCGCCACCAGTATATGCTGAACACAGCATTCTGATTAATAATTCGTTTGTGGAATATGAGTTAAGCAGCAAAATCCAGACCGTTTTTATCCAAGTCAGGGGTGGCCATTCTGCTGCTTGCTGTTGACTGAGAATGACATCACAGTTGCTCGGTACTCAGGTACGGACCAATCACAGCTCACCTGCTTTCTGAGTTTGGTCATGTGACTTTTGCAAGCCGTGAGCTCTGAGCAACTGTTCAGATAAGTGGCCTCCGCCCAAGATGGATAAAAATGGGCGGATTTTGTTGCTCAGCTCCACAAATGCATGATTAATCAGAATACCGTGTTTAGACTAGTGTGGCTGTATGGGACATACTATTCTAAAGAACTTTCTTTGGTTGACTTCTCCTTTAAGTTACATCCTTCAAAATCCAGTTTAATGTCCTGTGGTACATTGCAAGGTTTAAAGCAATAAAAAAATATATTCCATCCCGCTCGGAATACTTTATACAGAACATATTCATGACAACTGCGATTGGCTGGCATCCGGTTTAGGGTGTCCCCCGCCTACTGCCCGAAGACTGCTGGGATAGGCTCCAGCACCCCTCATGACCCTTGTGAGGACAAGCGGATCAGAAAATGAATGAATGAATGAATATTCATGACAACTACAAACCTTCATACACACAGCTAGAATGTATTTGAAAGCCATTTTAGAAGCCTCGGGGCCTAGTAATATAATGCCATTAATTAGAGCAGCTACCTGCACGCAGAGGCCGGGGCACTCCCCCTACAAAGATGGTCTTGCGGGGGTCCAAAGGCTGGGAGCCATCCATGACAAAGTCACTGTCACTCAAGTTCCAGGGACGGATCTGGACCTGTGGGGAAATGGGAGAGCAGGGTAAAGTGATTCCGATCATCGGGTGAAATTTGACACCCAATTCCTTTCTTCTCATAAGGAGGACTCACAAAGCGCGTCATGTGGTTAAAATACAGAATCATAAATGTAATACAAGAAGAAAGCCTAAACAAACAGTTTTTTTTAAAATGTCGACAGAAGAAGCGGCTCTTTCCTGAAATGGAAGAGAATCTGGGAGCAACAGACTGCATGGCTTTATCATCTTTAGTTTTTAACCTTGTGTGAGAGTCAGTAAGTAAAAGGCGGTCAGTAGACCGCGATGACCTACAAAATGACACCAAATCCACCAAAAATGGGGGAGCCTTAGGAAGTGACTGTAGAAATGTTTTACCGAATCCTAAAATAAGCAGGAAGTCAGTGCAAGGTCGACAGAAATGCAGTGATGTGACTGAACCCCTGGGATATAGACAAAAACGAAGGGATTCTGAAGTAATTGGAGACAGCCAAGTTTTGTTGAGGCAGTTGAAAAGAGAACTGCAAAAGTCAAAAAGTGAGAAGACCAAAGCCTAAACAAGTTTTACTTCGATATGATTAAAACATAGACTTTTGAGGTGGAAAAAGCAGGAACGGGTTATGGTTTTAATGTGTTGATCAAAAAAGCATGAGCTGATTCAACACCCCAAAGGTTTTTCAGGGTGTGATTGTGGCCAAGTGGCAAGTGGAGAAGCTGAGCTTCTTTATTAAGACTATTGGTACTGTCCTTTACAGTGATAAATAACTGAGAGCCAGTTTAATATATGCATGACCTTATATGAATAGAGTATACAAAAATAACGACACTCTTGTTTCACATTTGTCCGTGTAGCAGTTTTTGTGAGCCAAGGGAAAATCCAAGGTATTTCCCATATAGTGCCATTTGAACTGAGCTTACTTCAACAACGTGACAGTTTTGTTGAAAAACATACATACAGTGGTGCCTTGACATTTGAGCTTAATCCGTTAGGTGACCACACTTGTACCTTGAAACATGTGTAACTCAAGTTATCTTTTGCCATTGAAATGAGTGGAAAATGCCATGAATCCATTTCAGCCCCTTCCAAAAAAATTCCAAAACTCTAAACATTGTAACATGTTTTTCATATGAAAACTAGTATTCTACAGTTTTTTTTAACTTCACAAAAGCATACACAAAGGATAAAGAATATATGCCCATGAGTATTGTTGTATAAGTAGTACCGGTAATAAACAACTTTGGGGACTCTGCTCACCGGTTTGTCTTTGATGGTGGGACTGGACACGCACAGGTAGAGCTTACTGTCCTCCTCGATGCAGGCATCAATCAAGGCCTGAACAGAAGTCTCCTCTTGGAACAGCAGGAAGGCATAACCTGGAAAGGAGGAAACAGATTTCAAAAAGAAAATTTGGTTTATAACAGTCAAAACGATGTCATTATTCCACTCCATCATAGATATTCCAGGGTTTGTCACAGTCTCCGAATTTTCTTTAATCCCCCAAATCCAGTCATTTGAGCCTGGTTTTTATCCGCATAGGTCACAAGTTGCATTAATATACCCTGATTGATGTCGGGTGCTCCTCAACAGTCACCTTACTGTCTCAGAGTGAAACTTTAACGGAACCATACAAAATTCAGTGATGCTCTTTGAGGCAAATAGAAAAAGAAAATCAGTCAGTCACTCTCTACAGTTGAATTATTTAGCACTGGGAGCCCGACGTTTCCCCAAGGTCGGCACGAGGCACCATTAGGCCGATTATGGTGGGACAAGACCAGCTCAAGCATGCTTTACACCCAACCAACAAGGCATAGTGGGCTTGGATTTATAGGTTCAGTAAGGTTAAGGCAGCAGAAAAAAAAGACTTTTTGCGAATTTACAGGATAATTTGGAACGACTTTTAAAGCAGAAGCCCAAAATAAGAACATGCGATTTGGAACCAGAGAGTCACAGAACAAGTTCCTGTGCAAACAAGTAAAAATGGCAATTCGTTGTTGAAGGTATACGAATCTGCTTCTTGACTACGGTCAAGTTGCTCTTTTGAGGTTTGCATCACTTTTGAGAGGGTTGCCATAAGTTGTTGGGCATCCCATCTCAGCAAAACAACATAACGGCAGTCTTGCGCCATTTAAAAAGAAAAAAAAAAGAGGGCATGAAGAGGCAGAGCTGGCTAGCAGTTAGTTCACAATCTTCCCTCCGCAAGAGGGAACAACGTGTTCCGTGACCCTAGACAAAAGAGCCAAGAATGGAGGGCAGACAAGTGAGTCACTGGCGGGAGGTGGGCGAGTGAGAAAAGGTAGAGAAAGCATGCGCACGATGTAATGCAAATTCAAGTTCCAAAATCCTTGACGCTCAGTGGAATTGTTAAAAATTCCAAAGTATGAGCTTAGCACATTCATTACCATGTAGGTCAATCATCATCATAAATGAAGGCAAGAAATAATTTTTTTATTCTTACGTTAACATCGGTTAGCTTGTGTGGCAACTATATGGTACTACAATATTTACTTCTTATGCACAGTCAGATGTTTTAGGATTGAACAGATTATTTCCATAACTGGCTATGGGAAAATGAATTCTCAAGTGAAATGAATCAATGATTTACGAGCATTTGGAACAAAATGGGAGCATTTTAGATGCAAGTTGAATTAGATGGCAATGGTGGAGGTACTCAATGTGTTTCAAAGCTACTCTATAATGTTTATGTTCAAAATTCCTTTGCAACAAGAAAAGTACAGACAAACTTTTGGCAAATGTCTGGTGACCGTTTGGCATTAATTTGACATTTGACATTTGCGATTTTGAACAAAGCCTGACAACAACGCAACATTCGCTATGTTCGAAAACATTGTCTACCTCAACATTATCATTTCCATAAAAGAATGTCTTCAATTGGTCACCCACTGTTCAGATTACAAATTAAAATTGAATGGCCATTAAAAAAAGTCACATTTTGTGTATATGATATCTTTATTTTCCACAAAAAAATCTGCCCCTTTTTCAACTTTGAGGACCTTGCACTTGTGAAGGTTTCTGCACACCCCTGACATATAGACACTTGTGTGAAAGTGCATCGGTATCAACAATATAGTCTCATATTTAATCGTCTGGTATATTACTGTAAATAGTTGTCTGCACCAGCCAAATGGTCTGATATTTAGTTTGCAGAGGACTGCTCGAACAAAGATCTCTTGATAGATAGATAGATAGATAGATTCTTCCTTGACAGGGCTCACAAACACATTCACACAATACCGGTTAAAATGAATGAATAAAAATACATTAATAAAACTAAAAAATAAAGTCAAAGACATTTCGAGTGTATGTTAAAAAGTGCACGTTGAAAAGTGCAATGTATCCGTTCACATTGTTCATGATGGTTGCGGTGGATGGAACAAAATATATATATATATTTTTAAGTGATTTTCCGGGCCAGTGGGACTTTATACCTTCTGCTTGATGGCAGTAGTTGGAATGACTGGTGAAGGGAATGAAAGGGATCTTCTGTAACCAGACTGACTTTACTGTATAGTTCAGACAGGGGTGTGTGGAGTGAACCACACATTTTGCTGACCTGGTTTGTTATACGGGAGAGTCTGGTTCCGTGTTTGGTGGTGAGCAAGTTGAACCGGGGTGAAATGTTGAATGTGAGAATGGATTCAATGAGTAAGTGGTAAACAAGGTCTAAAATGTCCTTGCTGATATTAAAAGTCCTTAGATTCCTCAGGAGGGGGCGGCACTGTTGTGCTTTCTTGTATATGGAGTCTATGTGCTGTGTGAAGGATAAACAGGTGTCGATCTCAGTCCACGGGTATTAAAATGGCTGCACCCACTCTACCATCTGCCCCTGGATGCGGAGCGGCTGAAAAAGAGATGTGACTTCCTTATTTCTGCCGCTACGGCACAGTCCTTTGGTCTTGGTGGTGTTCAGCTCAAATGAGTTCTCCCTCAATGTTTTGACCAGGTTGCTGACGGCCTGTTGGTACTGCGACAGAGCAGCAGCAGAGCCAGTCAAAGGAGGCACCGAGGCCATGTCATCTGTATATTTAAAAAGTTTGTTCAATGCAAAGTACAGAGACTGAAGTCAGAAGAGGACAGTGCACATCTGCAGAGGCTTATGCTGCAGATTTTTATGAGGAAAAAGGCGGAGGGGCTGGAGGTTTATGGCCGCAGCATCATTTTCCATCCTACAGATGATTGTTTACAGTCAACGAGTCCCTTGTGCCTTATTGTAGCTCAAACAATAAACTTCCCGAAATAAGGGCCATTCTCTTTGACAAAACAGGAAAGAACGGTTTAAATCAGAGAAGCCTGATATACTTTAATCAAATTACAGGTAGTGGAAATAATTCAATCCAAAGAAACGTACAAAAGGTAAACGTGGAAATGCTACAGAACGAAGAAAGTAAACAGACTTAACTTCGCACGCATTTCTTCCTTCAAGTTACTTAAGCGGTTTTACGCTGTCACACAGTCACACAATGAACAATGGAGCACAGATTGTCAAGACAGGAAAGCAAAAGATCATTCACACACTGATGACATTAAATACTTCAACAGTGTTACATGATGGGATATAACCAGGTTTCTTGAAAACACATTTTAAAATAAATGGTGTATTTTTCAAAAATGTTGGTGCCTAAATTGTCCTCCAATTTTGAAATGACCCAACTGTTTTTTTACAACATTTTTCCTTTTAGAATGCAAACAGTATTTTCTAAGCCTTTCTCTCATAGTAATTTTCACGCAGCAACAAAACAGTAAAAAGATACAACCACATCCACATTAATATCGTGTAAAATTATGTTCGTCAAAAGGTGGCAGTCTAATCTTTGAAAGGCATTTTGACACAGCTCTGTATTGGGAGTCGGTTTTTCAGCTTTAGGCAAGTATGATGTCATCTTAAACACTGGTGGCAGCGTTCACACAATTTTGCCATCTCCTTCACCGCCAAACACAGACCAGAATAGCTCCTTAACATTTGCAGCATTGAACCGTGTTGGGTGATAGAGGGCGCATGTACCTGACATCACCATAGTGACCAGACTTCATTGCGGTTGCCATGACATCACAGACATTTGAGAACCGAAGGCTGGCCTGCATTCATGTCATGATTTTTTTTTTCCATAGCAAGAAATTATTCATAGCATAGTATAAGCTTTCACAGAAAAAAAATATAATAATAATCAAGCTAATGCCACTATTATTATTGTTTGAAGAAAAATACCTGCTCACACAATTGACAGGCAGTCAGTGGCGTTATATTTGCCATTGGCCACCACTGGTACACAGCTAAAAATACGTCCTCTTATATTCTCCTGTCTGGTAGATAAAAGGTTGCTGCACCAACTGGACACAGTTGACGAGAGCAATGATCATGTGAAGCCAAAACAAAGAGAATATTCTATGAGCAATGATTGAAACTGACACATGATAATGAGCGGTGGTTTTTTTTCACATTAGTCCGTGTCCACTTTTTTGAAAAAATACTGGACTGCATCCCAGTTTTTCCATTTTAGAAAAAAAAGCGTGCTTATAGCAGTATTATTGTATTCTCATATTTTGCATTGAATCCCCCCATTTTCTCCAGATATTAACTCTCATTAGAGTTGTTGATGAGCTCGAGCCAGGTGAGGTACACCCTGAACTGATCTCTAGTCAATCGCAGGGCACATATAGGCAACTAATGTGCCTGTTTTTGGAATGTTGGAGGAAGCAATACAGCACATCGTGGATAATTTTTTTGAAGAGCTTTGGTCTATTTAGTGATGTACAACACACCATATACATTCAAAGTTGAAAAGATAATTGATTTCTAAACGCATCCTTTTTGATCGCTATATGTATATAAGATATAATTAAAAAAAAACAAAAAAAAACGGTAGGTTGCTTTTTTTTTTCTGAATGGCTCTCTTGCTTTTTTCCTGTAGAGGGCAACAATCCTCTCCAAGGCCTGTTCAAGTCATTGCTTTTGGCTCACAAGGGCTCACTGGGCCATAATATGAGTCACCTTGAAAACGAAAACACACTAAAGAACCCGTACGGACAAACACCCTTACAGACGTGCGTGCAAGTTCACTACCTTGCCAGTTAAATTGGAGCATGTGTCCAAATATAATATTCTGGCTATTTCCACAGAGATATAAAAAATGTATAATTTATTTATTTTATTTAAGATACGTGACACATCATCAGACCTCACCTAGTAACAATGACAGCCTCCTCCAGCTGCTGCAAAATCATTCCCTGAAAAGGTTGTCATATTTTTGCTGCTGAGTGTGGCGTTATTATCATCAATCCTACCATATTTCCCGCACTAAAAGGCGTACCTGAAAGCCTTCCATTTTCTTAAAAGCTCACAGCGCGCCTTAAAATCCGATGCGCCTTGTGTATGGTTATTACGGTAATATGTTGACCCCAAAATGGCTCCTTGCTAGAAACATGCTTACAACGCAGAGTTCAAACTTAAGGCGAGCGGGTTACGCAGTTGAACACGGAAATAGAGCAGTGGCAAGAGAGTTCGATGTTAACGAGTCAATGTTATAACTTGCTGTTGGTTAAGTGAACTGTGTCGCTGCTTTATTAAATAAGTTTTACTGACATTTGATCGTTCTGTAGCAACGCCACTCAACAGCAAAGCTATCTTAGCTCTTGTCGTTTGTTTAAAGCTTCTTTGATCTGTGACATGGGTTGCGCTGATTGGTTGAACCATGTGCCTACGTGCTCGCGCTCGCGCGCACAGCAGGCTTTTCCTTGAGCGTAGCTCTATCTAGTGGATGCATTGTAGATTGCGTCTTATAGTGCGGTGCGTCCAGTATATGACAAAAATTACAAAATAGGCCATTCATTGAAGGTGCGCCTCATAATCCAGTGCGCCTTTTAGTGTGGAAAATACGGTACTCCCAAGGAATCCTCCCAATTCAGGAAAATAATAATATTGAGTAAGTGTGGGAGAGAGATCCTCCAGATGTAGTATATTACCATGTCTATGCGGAATGCCAGTTATTTCCAGAGCATCTTAATAGCTTCCCTAATATGACACACAGCAGCTCCTGGGCCAGAGGGTGTGATGATGCTGGTGTTGCTACTTTGAACAGCCCCTTCTTTAAAAGTTACCCAAGAGGTTCTTGAGGCGAAACATTGACCTGCTTCTGGCAACCGTTCCACTAAACAGCCATGAGGGTGAAATCTCATGGTGTATGATTACTGCGGCTGGGTTCCACAGATCAAACAGACCCCGTGATGCTCTCTCAGTATGAGCTATGATTTCTGAGTAACATGAACATTTTATGCACTCTATGATGGTGAAAAACACCCAAGGTGATATTTATTGGTGTAGTTTTTGATGTCCGTTGGGAAAATCCAGCTTTTGTTTGGACAAACTAATGTTACCTTTCGGCGGGAAGTAGGATTTGCTCTCAGCTTTGTGGGGCCAGTCGACCACCAGGTGTCCATAGCGACGGAAACTGTTGGTGATCTCATCTGTTAAAATAGTGAGGAGGGGGGTGTGGGGGATCAGTGGCAGTCATTTTCACATGATTGTTGTGCTCATTTGCAATGACTAATATACATGATAGTACAACAAAGGACGCCATGACAATCTGCCGTATATTTTTCTATGGATAGACGGACATGGACAAGCAACATTAAATATTAATTGAAAAAACATTCTGAAAGGATGTTATACACACACACACACACACACACGCACACACACGCACACACCGGTATACACATACATACATACATACATATACATATATACAGTAAATATTCCCATCCCCGGAATTCTATGAAAAGGAATATCCTTCACCCGGAACAAAAGCCTGTGCATTAACATTTTGACTACGATATTACATGTTACCGGAACTTACGTAA